AGAGAGAGTCAGAGCGCCCCGGGATACTCACCACCGCGAGATAATATCCCGCGAGATGCGCGACGAGGGGAACAGGACAACATCGTCGGCCCCGTTGGCTCGGCCACCAGGGCGGGAATGCTCGCGGATCTTTAACCGCACGAATCGTTTGCAGAGTACATGCGCTCTCGGCGCCGTCGCGGCGATACCCGCCATGTTACTCCAGCGCGACTTGCTCTACGACGTTATGAAACGGCGAGGAAGGAACGATTTGTTGTTTCGCGAGCGAACTCGATCTGTCAAATTCGCGAAATGACGAAAAATTTTCACATGAGAATCGGTTAATTTTAACTGTAACTTTAGAACCCGGCTGTAATAGGAAAAATAAGTTTATTATACATCTAGGTTTTTCTCCATACTTTTTGTCGTATATAAAAAGCTAGAAGTCGAGAATTAATATCAATGGATCGGAAAAATTTTTTTATCATCTCGTTGACCCTTTAAAATTGGAATAAATCGTTTCTCTAGAATTGGAGTAAATCAAGAGATACTAGGACGAGTGGCAAGCATGAGAAATAATCCGGGAAAAACCCGCGATGGCATAAACGGTCGTAAATGGCAGAAACTTTATGCACGGTCACGGTACGCGGTGTACGGTCAATAAAACGTCGATGTATCGGCAGCGGTGACCGGAGCGGGCGCGACTCGTATGCAGCCGAACAACGACGAGCGGTAGCAGACGATCCAAATGTACGTTTGATGGGAACACATGGTTTCTACGGAACACATGATATTTAGTCTGTTACAGGTGATCTCCGATATTTCGGAGTACCGGGATCCGCTAATAATTCCCAGCCAATTATGAGCGATTGCGGAAAAAATAAAAAAAATATCCTTCCCTTGTCGGTCTTCGCAAATTAAGATAGCGATCTCTCATATCAAAATTCTCATCGAAATTATCTACTGTTTTGACGATCGGCCCGATACCCGCTTCTTTTTTTCTCCCCCGATAAATGGACGGAGTTGAATGAACCTCGGATTCAGTTATTGTCACAACCGACGGGATAATAACATTACGCCGACCGGCAGATAAAAATAATGTTGCGTAACCCGAGCGATTTCGCGCTCGTCCGAGAACGCGAGCGAATATATGCACATGCCCCCCCGCGAGCGTTATTTACGTTTTCATTCACGCACATCTTCTTGCTATACGTGTGTTTGTGACCGGCCCATGAAAGAGAGAGAGAGAGAGAGAGAGAGAGAGAGAAAGGGAGAGAGAAAGAGAAATGCCGATCGGATCGGACCTTTCTATACATACATTCACGTAGCATATCGCTGAAGCTCAGCGCGTTTCTATCGAACGGATTAACTTCGTCGTGTGCGATAACGTAAACACTCTGACTTCGGTGACAATGGATTGTACGAATCAAATCGGCGTTCCCAATTCGCGCCAACTTGAATCGACTCGAACGTATCTTGCGTCCGAAGCGGAATTTATTCGCAAAACGCGTATTTCGAACTGAAATTCGATAACCAACGAGTTAGCGAGACGAGAACACTAAAGAGAATCCTAAAGTCGTCTTTTTCACTAATTATTTTTTAAATAAATATTTTTAATAAATAAATTATAAATGATAATGTAGTCCAAACCGGTCGACTTTATACAAAAAAAAAATGAAAAAAGTAGCAAATTACTAAAGTAATATTTTTCACATTAAATTATTCGCTATTTTTAGATTGTCATTAATATATAACGATTAATATTCTTGTAAAAGATGCTTGTTAGCATAAAAAAAAGTATTAATTTACTTGTATAATTTAGTAAGTGATATTACTATTTTGATTCTGTTCATGAATGCGTTTTAAGAATTAAAAAAGATTTTGGCGCGCAATGTGCAGAGTCAGAATGTAAATAAATTCACACATGACAAGAAATATATATTTAAGTGCTTACTAAAACTTAACACAAGATTAATTAGATACATTCTCATCGATCTAAATTCGTATATTGTTCAAAAAATCCTTCTAGCATTTTTAATATTGGCTTTATATAAAATTTTTGTACTTTGTACATATAAAACAATTTTAGGTTAGACTAAAGATTACATGAACTGAGTTAACTTCTTATAATTAGATTTAGATACTTAATACGGGATTGAAAAATTAGAAATTAGGGAATAATCAGAGAATTATCATATAATTGAAAATAATAAGAAAAATCAGCGAATTTAGCAAAATTTTCTGAAAAATCGAAATTTTTAACTTTAAAGAAGTTTGATGTACATACATCATATTACGCAGTTTTGGAATACTACCAACTTAACTATTAAAAATGCAAGCTGTGTTAGCAACATTTAATAGTAATTTACATACATTACTGTATTAAATTAATCTCACAACAAAATATTTAGTGATTACCAAATTAGAACAAAAATACAGAAAATTTCAAAATTTTATTGGAAGTCAGAGAAAATCATAAAATTTTGTTTGGAAATCAAAGAAAAGTTATGGAATTTGAGGAATTTGTCCTGTAATATGAAAGATTAGTTAGAAAATTTATATATATGTGTGCGATATTGATGTGCTCTCTTGAAAAAGAGTGGCAAATTTTTACTTTTTTTTTTTTGGAGAGGTTTAACATGTTTAAAATGAGATTTACTCCAAAAAAATAATGAAAATCACTCATTCAAAAATGCAAAGTTTTTAAATAGTGAAAGCATTTTAATTCTTTCGGATTGAGATTTCGTTCCAAGAAATTTAGAGAGTAGTAGTGCGACACTATGTAAATTTATGTGTGTAAGTCCGATTGAATCGGTAAAACAGATGACTTTAGGATCCTCTTCCGTCGCCCTCTTAATACGATCGCTTTTAATTTCATTCGACCGATAAGAAGGAGCCATTCGACTCGAACGCGCCAAAACGGAGCAAGAACTTTTGTTTTTCGTTATCAAAAAGTAAAGACAACGAATCTTATATACATGAAGATTTAAGTCTACATTTCCACGATTTTAATCTACGTTTGGCGTTGAATGTCCGAATATTCCTCTGTCATGTACATTTTTATTTCGGAGCGCGAATCGGATAGCCGTATTTAACGTTAAATAACTTCTCTCTCTCTCTCTCTCTCTCTCTGTATTGAGGATATATTAAACGTTTTTACTTTTATCATCCATTTTTATCGCGCTGCATTTTATTCGCGCGGATCTTTGTCGATGTTGCGATCTAGGTGGTATTATACATGTATTTTCTTCCCTTCCTTATCACTCCACGTGAAATTAATGAAACATGGGATGGGTTTATTTTATTTTTACATAAAGAGAACACACAACGAGAGAGATCGTATAGACGGAATCTCGGTGCCCAGGCTTTACTGGGGCACACAAATTCGCCGATCGAAAAGTGCCGAAGTCGTACGACGTTCGCCGAACGCTTGTCGCGCCACGATTTTTGCGTTTTTGTATGCGTGTGCATGTCTGTATGTGAGTCTGAAATCGTACGATATCATATATCCAACACACGAGACGATCTGTGTGCTATACATTCGATAGATACATTCGGGACGGCGATGAAGTTGACAACTTCATGATTCTGGACATTCGCGATCTATCGGCTACGTTCAAAGTAATTGAAAACAGAGAAGGAGGAGGATAAAAGAGAAAATCTTTCTCGGAGAAAAGATACGCCACGAAAAGGTAGAATATTAACGGAAATAATAATATTATTAGTGAGAATAGATAGTAGAGTAACTAACTATATATACGGGAATATATCGACTTCGGATAGAGTTCCCGAGACCGGAGCCAGGGCTTTTGGGAACGAAACGATTCGCTGGCGCACAGTAGCCGAGGCTCGGCGGAAATGGCCGAGCGGCGGCGGCGAACGCTTGCCGCGCCATCGAAAGAACGCCCTCCGTTCCAACTCCGACAAGCCAGCGCCAGCCAGCTTAACTAGACGCGGAAATCTGTAAACCGAGATCTCGGCGACGACGAGGAGCGACCCCGATAAAAAGGATCGCTTCTTGCTCAACGTTTCGTATCGCGCGACCTACGCCTCTCTCTGTCGCGCACATTATTGTACGTTCAAAGTCGCGGACTCTCCAAGCGCGGATTATAACCTGCTTGACGCGTGTGCACGCGACACGCGCACGCACGCACATATTCACGTAGGCAAACAGGCAGGCAGGCGCGAACAGAGGGACGACGATTACGAGAGACGCGACTATTACTGTACTACGTAACTCTACGTGCCTCTTCTAAAGTTCCATCAGCCTCGGTACTGTGACACGGAGCTCTTTGGCAGACTTATTGACACAACATGCGACGCTCGCGGAGAACGAGGTGGCACGCACACGACAATAAAATGACGGCGTTGGCGGAATAAAAGCGCGCGCGAGAGAGAGAGAGAGAGAGAGAGAGAGAGAGAGAGAGATAAAAAGAGCGCGCGCGTCCACCGACGCGCGAAAAAGGGGGGGACGGGCACAACCAGGAACGAATACAACCGGGAATATAATGCCTGCGTTTAACCGATATACGCCAACGATGGTCCGATAATTCTCTCGTTCGCGAAATCCTCTCCGAGAAGAGAACATTCTCCTCCGCTTCGCGCGTACGTTACTCCGCGCGGTTCGACAAACATGTGAAAGCGCGACTCCACACGGTGCAAAATACGTTTCCGCTTCTCTTATTGTTTCTCTCTCTCTCTCTCTCTCTCTCTCTCTCTCTCTCTCTCTCTTCCTCCGCCTCCGGTTGCTACTCGTCGTGCTTTAAGTGGAGAGCCGGGTAACGCCTCTCCTTCGATCTCTCGCGTCATGCCGAGAGTCCTTGTGCCGGACGGCCTATGCACCGTACATTCGCTCGTACGCCCGAGGAAGTGTTTAATCGCCATCCGCACGGAGCAACTATACGCGGCCTGGTAGGTGTAATGATGTGCCTGAATTTTCTTTCGTTCCTCTTGGCCTCACTCCGTTCCCCTCGCCGTTCCCCTTTCGCGCTATCTCCCTTCCGCCGATCACGTCTCTCTCTCTCGCTCGCTCGCTCCATCCCTACCTATACCGTCTCTACTCTATCCATCTCTCTCCCCGATTCTATAGCTCTCCTCGTCTCCGTTCCACTCTCTTTCTCCTTCCCTCCTCTCGCTCTGCCCGTCCCTTCTCTACCCTGAATGCACGCACACGCGCGCGTATTTTTCCCCCCCCCCCCCCCCCCCCCCCCCCCCCCCCCCCCGCCGCTCGTGTGTCGATGCCTCGTTGTGACGGACGAGACCCCGTACCCATACCCAAGTGCGTGTACACGCGGGCACATGCACACACCGATTTCGACCGTGAGGTATACACACGGTTGTTGTGCGCTCCGTGGACTGTGGCCGAGAACGACGCCGCGTGCCATCATCGCGTTGCGACGACAACGACGGCGAACGATCGTCGTAAGCAGAATCTCGTTCCGCCTTGTACCGCTCGCTACGCGGGATACGTGTGTGACAAGAACGTACATTCGTGCGCGAGATATATACTAACCGCCGCGCGCGCGGACTCGAATAACATGGGCGACATCGCCGTTGCTGGGTTCTCGCTTCGCTTCGCGCCGCTTCGGACGGCCGTCGTCGTCATCGCTGCCACCGCCACCACCGCCGCCGCCGCCACCGCCACCGCCACCGCCGTCATCGCCGTCACCGTCAGTATCGACGTCGATTGATTTTCCAGACGAGGAACACGCGATTCTCCGCCGCTCCATCGTCCGAGAGCTACACGAGAGCACTCCCGACGACGTCGGTTCGCCGCGTCGTCTGTAGCCACGAAGGCGGCGCGAATCGCGCTAAACAGGACCGCCGACGTAACAGTGAGCACAACTCACGCGACTTCTCATCGAGTCGATCCCTCGTATTCAACTGCAACTCACCTTGTTAAAGTGATCTTCCTCGTTCTCTCTGACTTCGGAATCCATTCGCTGATCGAACTCGTGTGTCTCGTATGAATCGCGATTGTCAACTGTTTACGTCAAGAACGTTTCCGTATCTTGTATTTTTAACTAGTGCCCCGCTATCGCAGTGACTGAATATTTGTGATGGTTTTATAGTGAGAACGTTCACTAGAGTGCTGACCTACTTCAAAAAAATTACAACTGATATTTGTTGACTAATCACATGATGTATGAATTTGGGATAGTTGTGTGAAAAGTATTATTAAATGTATTTTCTTATCAGTTGTTTAAAATCACGCCCATACAGTTTTGTTTATCATAAACTAACTGTAGTAAAATTGTAAAACTCCAATTATCAAATAATATGGAGCTTGCACCAAAATTTATAACATTTCTTCTCAATCATACATTCGTATTTTATATTATTTTTCTTTTATTTTTATAAATAATCTCTTTTTTATTATTGTAAATTGTTATCCTATGGTTTAATTCGGATTGCAGGAATTATCAGGACAGAATAGTAACGACAGTTCGAATGGACCAGCTTGCCCAGGGACACCGAATTCTCAGGGGATGAGACCTACCCCGTCACCAACAGGATCCACAGGTTCTCGCTCGATGTCCCCTGCTGTTGGTCGGTCTTTTTTACGTCTGTCTCTCTTTTCACTCGCATTTGTATTTAATAATAGAATTTCTAATTGCTCTGTACAGGATAACCCAGAGTTACAGAAATGTTCATGTTTAATGTGTGACGATTTAGAGTTGATTCTTCTCTAAAAAGAAAATTTTACTTCTCGTTAACTTTTCAATATATCTGGGATACTCTGTATAGTATGCTCAATCCAAATAATTAATATGTTTGTGTTCTCTTTTTCTTAATAATGATATTGAAGAACTATAACTTGGATGTTATATAAGAGTTTATCTTACTATCATCTTTTTCTTTCTTTTTTTCTTTTTTTGCATTGTATTGGAGTATCTTTCTGAAAATTTATTTTTGAATGTACAGGCCAACAAAACGTTCAGATGCCTCCACGTCCGTCGAGTAGCCAGTCGGATAGTAGTGGGCCAGCACCGCGAATGAGTCACTCTCCTATGACCACTCAAGGTACAAATTCTGCTTTTTCTGCTTCTGAGTACTTGGGGAGATACTATTGACGCTACTTGCGTCTCATTTTATCTTCATCGTTTATTAGACGTAAAACAAGGATAGAATGTCACAAATAATGCTAATAGCGTTTTCCCGAACGCACCTCTAATCATTCGTTTTTTGCAAGATATATGCATTTGTTTTCAGTGTAAATTGTCACATTAAAACTGATAAGAATAAGATGAAATGATCATTGATTTTAGGAGCATACCAGCAACCATTGGGTCCTTCACCACATATGCATAGCTACAAAATGAACAGTACTGGTCCTGGTGTAGTACAACCGGGACCTGGTTCGACGGCTCTTGGTGGGATTAGTCCAATGGGTGGTGGAATGGGCTATGCAGCTGGTGGGACAGCTGCAGGTCAGCCTGGAGGTTATCATGCACAATCTACGTATCCGCCTCCTCGTCCTCACATGCAGTTTCCACAAGGATATCCAACGCCTGCGAACTCGCAACCGCCACCCAACAATCAGTATCAGCCTCCCAACAGACCCAATAACTTAGTACAATATCCACCGTACACGGTAATAAACGTTTAATTTAATCGACAATGCATAACAATAATTTATTTCGTCATTGTCTAAGCTAACATGTTTTGTCTTTCAGCATAAAATGGGCTTTAATAGTGTACCGCCGGGAATGCCACCGAGTCCGGGACCGCCGCAAGTTTATGGTGCTGGTGGTGCAACCGCAATGGTACCGCCAGGCGCTCCAGGAGTACCTGTCATTGGTAATATGGGACCGCCGGCGAGCTCGATGGGTCCACCACCACCGTCTCCTAATCATATAAGTAATCAACCACCACCGCCTACCAGCTCGGCAGTACCACATTTACATACACCGGCAGCTACGCCGCCTCTCAACCACGAGGGTAGCCCGATGCCACCGCCGAGTACAACACCGAATTCACATCCCGCGTCAGCACCAACCCCTACCAGCCACAATTCCGCAGATCTCACGGCTGAGACTTCCAACGACAGCGGTATAACCACGACTGCTTCAGGTGAGTGAAAATATCTTAAATCATGTAGACTTTCTCCTTTTATTATTGTCCGCGCACAAATGAATAGCAAAATTGCATGTTTTATGCATAGGTACGTCAGCTATAAATGTCATATCTACTTCAAGTGGTACTGTGACATCTGTAATAACAACAGGTCCAGACGGCACGTCTCTGGATGAAGGTTCGCAGCAGTCAACGTTATCTAATGCATCAGCTGGTTAGTATTATTTATAATTATTATTTCTAAATCTGTTCGTCTTTGTTCGTGGAATTTAATTTTGTAAAACTCGGGTCGTCGCAATTATGTTAACAAAATGTATTTACAAACAGCCTCTGGTGAAGATCCAGCATTTACACCAAAAGTGCGGAAGGAAATGATAGGAGGATACCACAGCCATCCTGCGACACCACAGAGCACTGTTCCGTCTCCTGGCGCTGCTAGCATTAATTCGATTCACGAGGAATATTCTGATATGAACAGTCCTGGTTGGCCGCGTACTCCTGCTAGTCCTGTACGTATTTTCACATGCATTTTCACACGTGATACACATTCTAAATTAGCAGTTAATTCATTATCACAGATGAAATTTAAATGCAATATATTATTTGCATTTTCAATATTTTACTATTTTACAGGTGTTTAACAGTCATGTGCCTCAAGACCCGTACAGATCTAAGGTTATTGTTTTTTCACTACAAATATTTGTTATATCGTCAAGATGTCATTCCCCTTTTGCACTCCACGCTTTAGACATTTTTACTTTACACTAACTTTTCTTGCTTGGCACATGCGCATCGTATTAATCTCGCAGATCATAATGCCATATTCATAAAAGCTACGTTAAGTATATCGTTATCTTAATACTTAATATAGAGTTTTAATAATCTAATTTCTAACTTACATATTAATATTTTAAAGTATGTCATTTATCTTGATAATACTAATGTAATATTTTTATTGGACAGTCAATAATAGCACAATTAACTACTTCTTTTACAAGATTGCAAAAGAATTATAATATAATCTACGTTTTAAAAAATAATATAGTGATACAAATATTACCACAGATTGTATTACATAAATTTTGCAGCAATCTCAAATGACGTTACGTGGACGATTTATTCAGACATATTAATATGCTAATTTCTTGTACTCAATACAAATTTTGCTTTATATTTTATTTCTCCATATCCGCATAATGACAGAAAATTTACTTGATAATAATTATCGCATGCATTAAATTACTGGGCTGCATATTATTGTATTGCTGTTTCATTTAATTTCTAACAAATATTAAAATATTTTTAAACATACATTGAGAGAAAGAAATAGTTCTCAAAATCTTTAAGAATATTAATATTTCCTATTTATTTACTGTTTATGTATTTATGGACTTATTTGATAAAAATGTACGTTTTATTAATGGATGAGGAATATCTTAACAATTGGTGTTAATTAAAAATGTTTATCAAATGGAGAAAAGAGATATATATACAAACTATTAGGTGTTGGAATTAATTCGTAGCGTTTTTAATGAAAGAATGTTATTTATTTCACATGAGCATTAAAAAATACATTAATGAAAGTACTTCCCATCACTTGTAAAACGCTACGAATTAATTCCAACACCTAATATATTTATGCATGTTAGATAATTACTACGATTGGGATTACGTTCGCAGCTTTGCAAGAATAATAATTATTCTATGTTTTAGTTAGATCAATAATACACGACGAGACATTTCTGACGAATTGTATTAATAAAATTCTACATAAGATTTTCATATAAGAGTATGCTAAAGAAGCGTAATAATTGCGAATTTCAGAAGACAGATAGTCTGGCAAAATTATACGAAATGGACGAATCGCTAGAACGAAGAAGTTGGCTGGATAAGCTAGTCAACTTCATGGAAGAACGAAGATCACCGATCACCAGCTGCCCTACCATCTCCAAGAACCCCCTCGATCTATTTCGGCTTTACCTCTACGTGAAGGAGAGGGGGGGCTTCATGGAGGTATGCAAGGTGCAGTGTAGTTCCATCTAGCCCTTGGTGTCTTACATAGTTTTTGTATCGTTTTTATGTATTTTTACATTCTTTATATTTGTTCTGCACACTGTACATTTTTGAGGTGTCTTTTGTTGATTACTCCTTGCTATTGGTGCTCGATGATTCAAAGTATTTCTAAAGTTTGCGTCGAGCAAAACTTTGATAAAACTTTGATAATTTATCGGAGTTCAGATTTGAAATTGAATTGAAGTAATTTGTATTGGAACACCTCAGAATACGCTTTGTTTTTTTACTTTGTTTGTCTAGTTGAATTGTGCATGATACACGTTGTATAGTTGTATTATTTTTGCTATTAGTATCCCTTTCTCATAATCTATGTTTAAATATTAGGAAAAGAAAGAAAAAGAAATGCTTAACATATCTTTTCTTGAAGTAGTTGTTCAACAGTCGAATATGGAAACACCCTGATCTACAAACCTTGGTGCTATATGGAATTATTCTAATAATCACACAACGAAGATAAACTTTTAATATCGAAATATTACAATAACGGTAATCGTTCCGATTGTACTCTGTGTATTTCTCTCATCCTTTTTTTAATTTTTTTTTATACTTGCATGCGTTTAGAGATTTCGCCGATCCATATAATTTTTTTGAGACCTCAAGGCTATAAAACGTCGGCGATGCCTTTTATATTATTGCGTTTCTTTTGGACATGCAGATTTTTTGTCTGTGTTTGGAATTCGACGTGAAATTACTCTTTCGCGAGCACAATAAAGAATATCTATGTGTAATTTCTTTCTGTAGGTGACGAAAAACAAGACGTGGAAGGATATAGCTGGTCTGTTAGGTATCGGTGCCAGCAGTAGCGCTGCTTACACTTTGCGCAAGCATTATACAAAGCATTTGCTAGCATATGAGTGCCACTTTGATCGTGGCGGTGTGGATCCACAACCCATTATCAATCAGGTCGAAGCGGGTTCGAAAAAGAAAGGATCCAAGGGAACTGCTTCCGTACCATCGCCGGGTATGAATTATATTTTACACATACATATACAGTGTGTCCAATGATTTTTTAATATCCTTGAATCTGAAATCATTCTGAAATTTAATGTATTAGGTGTTGGAATTAATTCGTAGCGTTTTACAAGTGATGGGAAGTACTTTCATTAATGTATTTTTTAATGCTCATGTGAAATAAATAACATTCTTTCATTAAAAAACGCTACGAATTAATTCCAACATCTAATATTTTGAAAAACTGAAAAACTTGCAATTTCAGGACTGACTTGGAAATTTATCATTCTTTTATTCCGAAAAAATCTTACTCCCTAAAATATTATTTGCTTGTACAAAGCTTTCTTGTATCAAGAAATTTTTACACTAAAAAACGATTTGTTCTTACAGGTTCTTCCAATTCTCAAGACTCGTTTCCCGCTGCTGGGTCAAGTAACGCTTCTATGGACGGTTATGGAAACTATCAGGGCAGTTATGCAGGTGGCACACCCGGTGGCCCATCGTCAGAGTATACGCCGCCACCACCTAGGCCACCTAGCCAAAGCAGCGCACCCTCTGCCCATCAAGGTACATTTCTCACATTTCTTCTTGGTTATGCATGCTATTAGAGTTATTTTTATTTGTTGTAATGTTGTGTTATACATACTATAGAATTTGTCGAATACATACATTTATTCATGTGATTTTATTAACAAATCGTTATCAAGAAAATTTATAACAATTTTGTTTTTGAAGGAATACAACAAGGCACTTACCAAAATACAGGCTCTTATCAGAACTATCCTCAAGAACAATATATACGGCCGCAGGGAAACGCGATGTCTCAACAAGGAGAGTTCAATCAACCGTACTCGCCCAGATCGCATTATCCTCCATACGTACCGGATGTCGACAGGTGAGAGATAGGCGATCATCATCGATCACGTATTTCTTGTTTCAATAATGTTCCTCGGGGAAAAACACTCATATTCATTTTCATCGCGTACAGAGGATATCCGAGTGGTAACATGCCGCCGAACAACGCTACTGGACAGGATATGTACAACAGATACACCAGCGGTCAACAAGGTCCCGCTAGTTATCCCACGGGAACGCCTCCTAATGCGCGGAGCAACAGCTATCCTTCGGGACCGCAGACTCATCCGGTCACTGTGCAACAGCAAACGGCGACTAGCCAGCCTTCCTCGCCTTCGCAACCGCCAACTGTGTCATCATACTCGTGTCCGCAAGACTACTATCGACAGGAACAAGTAATGATGTCTTATATTAATCATATTTGATAAAATGATAAAATTAACAATCTTTCATATCTGTAATTGCGTTGCAGAGTGGATATGGAGCGCCCGCTGGAACTCAAATATATACCGCAAGTGGATCGGCTAACAAGAACATGCCACCACCCCCTCCAGGTCCCACTCAACCTAGACGCCACCCAGACTTTGCCAAAGACCAACAGTATCCCCAATATAATCAACAACGACCAGCGTATCCAGGTAAGATACTTTAATGTCGATAATCATGTATTACTATTTTAGAAGAAGTTTTGCTAAGTAAATATTTTGAATTTTAATTTTGATTAATCCAAATGCTATTTCTTGCTGCAGGATGGCCAAATACAACTAATCAATACAATAGTAATAGTGGAAACAATAGGGTTCAATACCCAAGCCAGCCGGCACAATCGCCATCACAACAACCACAACCGCAACCGCCGCAACAAGGAACTCAAGTCGTCACCGCTGCCCCAACTGCTCCGGCAGTCAACATGGCTAGTAATCAACAATGGGCCAGTCAGCCATCGAATAGGACCTCATCCCAACCATCTATAAACGCTATAGCACACCCGCCTCCACCGTGGGATCATCGCTACACGAATCAACCGTCCCCTTTGTATCCAACACCCGGGAATCATCAGGTATGTGTTTAATTCTGCAAATAAATATTCTCATAAGTTGATTCTAAAATAATTTAATTTAATAACGAGAAACTTAACAAGATTTATAATATCTGTTATAATCGGCATATTCCATACTTGGTATAATCTTTAATTGTTTCGTTATCATAGTTATCATAGTTATCGTTATCATAGTTGCCTAGGATTATTTGTTTCATGATATGTGTATCATTTCAATCAAGTTATTTCATAAACAAACGAAATATCGTATTCTTGTGCACAGACTCAACTCGGAGTAAATCCCATGATTAGCCAACAGCCGACGTCAAAGAGAGAAATGACATTCCCTCCTGACAGTGTAGAAGCGATCACGCCTCTTTTGTACAAGCGACGAAAACTGACGCGCGCTGACGTGGCGCCCGTAGAAGCTTGGCGCATCATGATGGCTTTGAGATCGGGTCTGCTCGCTGAAAGCTGCTGGGCCCTTGATGTATTAAACATTTTGTTATTCGATGACTCTTCTGTGAGTATATTTTTTGATATTATAATTATTTTAAGGAAAAAAAACAATGACTATACAGAAATTCACATAAAATTAAAAAGATAAAATATGCAACAAATATGAAAGATATACAATAATTTATATTAACGAATTTTTCGTGCCGCAATTACTTATATATATTTTGAAAACTTAATTAACGTAAAAAAACGCTCGTATAAAAAGATATTAAATATTTTTATATATAATAATAAAATAAACACATACGTACATATACAAAATGTTTATAAATTTTCCGTTTACAGGTAAGTTATTTCGGATTGACACACCTCCCCGGACTACTGGACGTTCTGCTGGAACACTTCTCGCGTTCTCTCTCCGACATGTTCGAATCATGTGTAAACGACGACGATCGCTATTGCCAGGCCGCAGATGGTCCGGAGGTAGACCTCGGTGCGGTAACGCGCCCGATCGATTCGGAAGATCGGACGAAATTGCTGTCGACATCGAATTATACGTATCTCTCGAGGAGAGGTCGCCCTGTTAAGATCGTCCCTCGAGATGACGATCTGTTTGTTTTGGACACCCGGAGGCCTTGGGATCATCAGGAGTGCGAGTCGGAAACCGAGCCGTGGCAAGTCGATACGAACGCGACCAAATACATCGTCACGTGTTTTCAGTCTGAGGTGAGCTCGGTGCCTTTCGCCCGTTTACTAAGGGACGAGAAACCGCCGTTGTTGCAGAAGGAAGTTGACAGCACAGATTTGAAAGACGAAGCCAAAGCGGATAGCGTCGGTGGTGTCCACGAGACGTTAGACTTCACTCACAAATCCGGTGAGCTTGGCGACAAGCAATCTAACAAAGACAGTGGCGAACGTAAGCAGCAGCAACAGTTGGACAAGAAAAAGAAGACGAAAACTTTGAGTGACGTGCTGTCGAGGATCAAGAAGGAGCCGGTAGAGATGAACGATCTCACAAGGGAGCTGTTCGAGAAGAAGAACGACGGTTTTAAAAAGGATTGTGACAGCGAAATGACGAAAGCAAACAACAATATGGGTGAACACTTTGGCAGTGATATGTCAAAGAACGACGAGGACTCGTTGCCGACGCAAAATGGACTGAATGAATCGGTAGCGACGGTTTCAGGCAACATTGATAACACCCTAGATAAAACTGAGATTAAGACAGAAACGACGGACGAACATGAATTGCTAACGACGAGAGACGACAGGGAGGGACCAAGATTACAAATAAGAGATCCGGCAGGAACGTTAAAACGACGGAGGATAAGTGATTACGAGGACGAGAGCTACTCCAGGGACGAAGCGAGTCTTTACCTGGTTACGGAAACGCAGGACAACCTGGCCCGTCGTTGCGTGTGCCTGTCGACAATCTTGAGGAATCTCACTTTTATCCCCGGCAATGAAGCGGAATTCGCGAAGAACGTTACGTTCCTCAGTCTACTAGGCAAGTTATTGCTGTTGCATCACGAACACCCGATACGGGCGCAAAAGACCCGCAATTACGATCGTGAAGAGGACGCGGATTTTGCGGACTCGTGTAGCAGTCTACAAGGTGAGGGCGAGTGGTGGTGGGACTTCCTCCATCATGTGAGGGAGAACGTCCTCGTGATGGCCGCTAACATATCCGGCCACATGGATCTGAGCCAGCATCCAGAGGAGATCTCGCGGCCAGTGCTTGACGGTCTTCTTCACTGGGCCGTATGTCCGGCTGCACATGGTCAGGATCCTTTCCCAACGGTCGGTCCGAATTCCTCATTGTCGCCGCAGAGACTCGCGCTTGAGGCGTTGTGCAAATTATGCGTTACCGAGTGCAATGTTGATCTGGTAGTGGCGACGCCGCCGTACTCACGATTACAGAGACTATGCTCGGTGCTGACTAGGCTTCTTTGCCGCAGCGAAGAACAGGTGCTGCGTGAATTCGGCGTGAATCTACTGCACTTCCTGTCGGCCGCGGATAGCGGCGTCGCGCGCACCATCGCCCTGCAGACGCCGTGTGTTGCGCTGCTCGTTGCGTTCATCGAGCAGGCCGAATCAAGTGCAATCGGTGTCGCTAATCAGCACGGTCTCGCGGCTCTGCGTGACAATCCCGAATCGATGGGCACCAGCCTGGATATGTTGCGACGTGCAGCCGGCACGCTGCTCAATCTCGCTAGGCATCCGGATAATCGAACTCTCCTTCTGCAACACGAGTCCCGCCTGCTCGCCTTGGTAATGAGCCAGATCCTGGATCAGCAGGTCGCTGCGATAGTCGCGCGCGTGTTGTTCCAGTGTTCGAGGGGCACGTAACTCTCTGTCGTCGGTCGGAACATTAGTACGCGATTCGCGCGGATTATTATTAACGGTGCCGACGGTGACAACGACGAATAAGACGCACGCGACGGCGACGATGTTGTGATGGTACGACGTTGTGTACGGACGGCTGTAGTGCGTTAAAAGGCGGACGTTGTGGGGAAAGCGGGAGATAGACGGATATATACGATGGAAAGAGACGAGGGAGAGTGACGAGGCGAGAAAGACTCGCGCACGACGTGATAGAGTACACGAGTGAAGGAACAAAAGTGCTGATTAAAAGCCATGGCAGCGCAGTTGTAGTTTTATATCGATTAAACAGGAAGTAAGAAAGTTTAATTATTGGTGTTAGCGTGTAGGTATACCCGATGCGATATCCGCCTGCCGGTATACCTTCCCCTTCGATGAATTGGAATAATATCGATAGTGTAAGATATTTCATAGTTAATGAAAGAAAAAGATACACACACATACACACACACACATCACAAATACACATATATAGAAAAACACGGATCGACACACATCCCATATCCACTGAGTATATCCACACAACACAAACTAAACAAACACAGACACACAGACATACATGCGCGCGTGTGCAACCGCAAGCGTGGACATGACACACGCAAAAACACACACACACACACGTATATATATATATATATATATATATACACACACACACACTCACATATGCATACGCAGTAAAAAAAAAGAAAATGGACTTTCAAGAGACAACGGTCAGCTGCATAATAATATATATACCAAGAATCATGTCGGCGAACCTTAATGGTGCGATGTGGAATGATATATCGGATGATGATATATATAAATATTAAACGATAATATAATGCAAATTTTTATATTTGCATGTTTTGTGCTGTAATTAGCGAGTAATTAAGATATTTTGTAGATAACACACTTCCATTTGAATCTTATTCGATTTTCGTGCTGCGGCTACGGTGGCGCAAATATACGTTTGCGGCTGTAAGGCCGCAAGAAGTCTCGATTTTAGAAGCACAGGCAGAAACTAGAACTGAAGAAAGACATTGCTAGAAGAGAAAAAAAAATAATATACGTGTGATAAAGCCGCTGATTGAGAGGGAAGAGTAACAGAAAGAAAGAGAGCGTGAAAGCGAGATGGAGAGAAACAGCGAGGAAGCGTGCATGCGTGCGTACATGTTTATGTATTTGTGTATTGCGTGCATGCATGTATGTATCTATGTATGTATGTATATGTTTGAGTTTAGGAAGAGAAAGAGAGAGAGAGAGAGAGAAAGAGAGAGAAGAATGGAAATGAGAGAAAGAATGAGAAAATGTTGAGATAAAATGATGAGGACAGAGATGCTTTAGCACTCCTCTATTCTGAAATCATTCGGACCGGGCTGTATTCTTCTATTCTGGAAAACCGCTTCCAATACTCTTATATGGCGGAACGCCGTCGATGTTCCGTGTTTATATCATCCCGCATGTTTCGCTTCTCTCATTCTACGTAATGCGGCAGAGTTATTACGCGCGTAAAAAAGTGCGAAAGAGGAATTATATAATATTATATACTATATGTAATTATATATATATATATTATACATGTTATAATAAATAGATTTATTATATATATTATATAATATTTTATATAATTCCTATATATTATATATATATATATATATATGTATGTATGTGTATATATATATATTCCAGTTTACAGGGGAGGAACAAATTATTCCAGAATAGAGAGAGGTTCCAGAGTAAAGCGGTCTAGAGCACATGCCCGTTTATACGTGCGCGCGAGAGATGCGTGTGTGAGACATGTATGTGTTTAAAATGATCGCGTGCATACGACGTGGCGCTTCGACAAACGGAGGCTCATATATGCACGTATTAATATAAAAGATGATTTTAGAGAGAGGGGGGGGGGAAGAGAGGAGAGGAAAAGATGCATATGTGTGCGCGTGTATGTATGCACGGAGGATGGGGGTGCCGGTAGAAAAAGGGATGGGGACAGTGTCTCTGAAAAGAGAAAGAAAATACAAATATAGCTTGCGAAACTAAGTAACCGATTAATTTAAATAGTTACTTAAATTACCGTTAATTTTGCAGTAATTATTACTTGAATTCCTAGAAAATTTCACAGGTTCAGTACATTTTTTCCTTTTTTTTTTTCCAATGGCTTCCTTTCGAACAAAGATTTGAAAGTAGAGAATTTAACTAACTGCAGTCTTTTTGAAATAAACGTATTTATAAACATAATTAAACGCCGTTGTGATAACAAAAAAGAAAATATAAAGAAAAAGAGACGGAGAGACGGAAGATGAGAAAACATTGTAGAAGCAGATGAAAACTGATTCTGGGCGATAATGTAGAAACGAATATATTAAAAAGATAAAAGAGGATTTTTAAATTTAAGCTCGATCGTGCCATTAAACGATTCTAATGGGAATATATTTATAACCAAGATTTTATGCTTTTTCAAAGCGCGCATATACGTTATTGTAAAACTAACAAATACCGATTGTCAGCTTGCACATATTTTGACGATTCTTACGATACATACATCTACCTAATTGTAAAATCCCACTCTCACGAACATTTACGCAGCAATTAAAGAAAGAGAGAGAGAGAGAGAGAGAGAGAGAGAGAGAGAGAGAGAGAGAGACGCATTCGAACTCGTCGTCGCACACCTTCCACTGGTATACTTCCTCGTTTCGTAGAAAGAAAGAATTTAAGAGAGATGGAATGACGATTTAGTTTTCACATACGACGTGTAGCCGTTTAAAACGACTCGAATTCTTGCGAAGACATACGATTTAGAAGCGTGTTGAGATAAGTTAAACAGAACACTTTCCCTGGTCCCAGCTTCTCCCCGACCCCAAAGTATCCTATTCTATAGATATCTAAATACATGTAGTTCTTAAATTATTTACTTTAGTTCGAGTGGAGATGCCTGTAAGTGTAATTTACTAAGACTTTTTGTAAATAAATTATGAAATAAACTAGACGTACTTTATCCAAGACGAAGATGCGATCTGACTTTGGCAAGATAAATGATAATGATGATGATAATAATAATAATAAAAAAGTGTAGGGCATTAGAGAGAGAGATATATATAGCGTTTTTCTTTTTTTTTTGCATTCACCGTATAGACTTTTATTACGCCGAACTAAATATGTAAATACACTGATCTCTTCATCCTCTTTGTTCTTTGTTTCCTCTTTGCGATGGCCTCATTAACCAACAAATATTTTCATTTGGAACAAATGCTGTTCTCCATGTTCAGGATCATTGCGTTGTTCATTTTGCGACACAGCCAATTCAGGATGTCCTCGGCCTCGCTCTCCACATACCAATCTACCATAGACGACGATGTCTCTTTCTCGTTCTAGAAATAAAATTCAATGTGATCATCTTTAATGAATACCAATTGAGTAACACTAGAATGCTCGATAATGCTTTAACTCCTAATGTTGAGTCTAAAATTCGAATCTATTTAACGCAGTAAACCAACTTGGGAATTTTTAGCGCAGTGCAATAATTCTCCGTATATAGATAACGTATCAAATCAATTTTTGAGATAGATCGGAACAGTTACCTCTATATGCAAAACAAGTTTATTCTTAGCGATGGTTGGTGGTGATAGCAATTGATTAGTTTCCAAAGTCCATTTCACATTCCATGATCCCCATGCATTTCCTTTCTCGATATAGTATATCCGTCTAAAAAAGAAAATCCAAGGATTTATTTCGTTTTACATTCTGACTCAGAGGAAATTAACACGACAATAATTTTACTCTTAAGATTTTTTGCTACTATTGCCACTGATATTAAAGACATGATATTAAATATTGTTAAACTTACTGCAAAGATACGAGCGTAATGTATTTTCCATCGCTGTGAAGCGTAGCGTGTCCCCAATAAGAATCGTTCTGAACGCAATGACCTTTACTTATAGCGTTTAATAAGTACGCTCCTTTCGCTTTATGCGTCGAAAATGATTCTACGCCCTAAGTCAAGATATTAATTGTTAATAATACAAAAAAGATGAATGGAAAGTCACAGGTTATCGTTTCGATACTCACGAAATGTGGATTAATATATCGCGGCAATCGCATTCTGGATACGAGGCCCACCTCTTGCGCCCTGTAAGATAAATAATTTGTTTTTAAAGTAAATATTGTTAATGCACGAGAGAAAATAGTGCCGATACCTTTTTATTATATCTGCTATTACTTTCGAATAAGTTTTCAAATAAGAACTTTCCGCCTTGAAGAGCACAGATGTTTTCTTTCCCAATGTTTTGAAGAAATATCTTAATTCTTCTCGATGAATGCCTATCATTTGCAAGAGATTTAATAAAAACGTCGAGCCGGAAATGAAACAGCAATGAGCGAATCAACAGATGTGCGCGGCACGATATGTGATCCCACTTACATCCACTCGTACATTACGACCAGCAATGATCTACTCACTATTCGTCGACGTAGTGATCAAGCCAGAAGTCTCCAAATCAATTTCTGTAGCGAATGAATGATCGACTAAAAACGCCAAAGGCGGAACATCTGGATTTCGATAATTTGTATCTTTCATCTAAAATGAAATGTAACGGTTGTTTCAATTTCTTATTTTAATAATTTAATTAATTACTACATAAAAAGGAACTTATGAGTGTTTTCAGCTGCAAATACTAAGAGTCAAACCGAAGTTTTCTTTTATAATGATGATTCAGTTTCCATTGGACTTATGGAAATCGAAGATTTAATCATCAGATAATTAATGTCGAAGATTAAAAGCTGATACAGATGAGCTATTCAAGTTTTTTGTAAAGCTGAAAGGAATGGTTAATTTTTAGTTCCACCGCACAGCTTTATAGCGTTTACCTTGTAATGAAGCGTGTGAGCGTCATGGCCGCTTAAAAATGAGGCTTGTATACCATCGGGCGTAGCATATCCTAGCTCACATGCGACCTCGTGTGCCAGTTTCTCCGCAGACTCGTCCCCACACATCAATAGCTATAAATTCGTCTCGAATTAGCGTTGTTTTCAATAGAAATGAAAGATGTACCATCCGTTTGCGATATATATCATGTTTCTGATCACTCACCAAATCCGGCTCGCAGAAATTGCTCCCTGGCGACTTAAAGTTGTAGCCATACTGATTTCCCAGGACGGTAGTTAAGCGGACCAGCACGTGGAACTGTTCCATAATCTGCGCCATGTAGATACGTGAAAGATGGGAGAGGAACCATTTGTTATCCACGGTCATGAAACTTTTTCGATAGTCAGGCAATCTAAATGAGTAAATAAAATTATGAAACTTATTTATTGTTCGTCTTTCAAGTTCCATCAAGTTTCATCAAATTGTAATGGCTTACCTGAATTCAACGTCCCTCTTAAACGTACCCTTCTCTGCATACTCGAAAATAAATCGAAGAACATTGTGATAACCAAGCACGTTGTTGAAATTACGCGTATTAGTTCCGTCCGTATTAGCCAATAATCTCAAGCGTAATGCTATCGGGGAGATGTATATCTGCTCTATTAAATCTTTTCCTTTGCCATTTGTGTTCTACAATTCAAACACATGAATTAAACGGTGTCCATACATTTACGATGTACTTAAATTACGTGCAAGAATAGATATTACATTACTAATATTGCGAACTGAAGAAACGCGCATATTGGACACATCTCTCCTTAATTTCGCGGCAATCGAATGTTTAGTTTCCGGTGTCTTAGGTACTAAATTGATCAAGGAACTGAGGAAGGACTCTTCTATATTCAAATTAAACTCTCTGACGATGACACATATTCCTCTAAAAGGATATCATTTGAAAATTATGAAAAATATCAGTTAACAGACAATAATGTCATTTGTATTGCGCACACACTTGTAAATAATGCTTCTTAATTTGCGTTGTTTCAGGTACGAGAATTCTAAGCAATGTTTCAATTTGCGGCTTCCAGCATAATTCACAAAAGTCTTTTCCAAGTTGGGATATAGAACTACCGGGAAGGTAGCTTCATTCAGTTGATTATCGATCTGCAAAAGACGGGGGAAAAATATGTATATACGAATATATTACAAATGTAATCTCTTACCTGTATTCTATGAATGTATCCTTGCAAGTAACAAAGCGTCGTGGATTCCCTACAATGTAACCAGATACCTGGTGAATACGTTCTTCGCAGCTTGCCAAAGAATGGTTTTGTCATCTGCATTTTTGTGAAGTCAACCTACAAAAGAAAATTCTATTAGAGACAGATTCGCTGTGTAATAAGCAAAAGAAATATTCGTAGTTCACAATACAAGAAAATATTATTTCCTTCTGTGCTGACCTAGCAATGTAGATTCTACATTTAATATTTATTATTCAAGATGTTTGTAATGAACAACACTTTTATTAAATATAAAGCCGAATGGAATTTATGTAACTACCAAAGTTGATATGTTCTATATAACGAATGCAATTGCATTTGCAATATAGTTTTGAAAATTAATATTAGACGTACGTCAATGAAATTCTCAAGCTGTGCCGTCTTCGCGGAATTCGTGTATTTATTTTCTAACCAGGCACTCAGCTCCAGCGATAGATTCCTCCATCGTTTGCTGAAGTAAAGTTCCCAATGCGCGGCTGAGTCGATCACACTAGCGTACAGTAACTCCCGTCTGGAGTTATGAGGATTGGATTCATGTACAACCTACAAAAAAATCTTCAATTAATTACATCCGAAACAAGCAATATGAAACAAGCAATTACTCTTCACTTACAACACTTATTCCAATAGCTGCAATTGACAAGAATATTTCTCTTTTGCTCGCCTCAGGATCGATAATACTCCTTGCTTTAAGGTACACGCTCTCGTGCTGTGTGAACAGCATCACGCGTTGCTCACCTTCCATATAGCTCACCCAGTAAACCATTGCTTCACCCTGGTGCATATGCTCCGACATTTGCGACTTCGCCTCGGATTCCGCGCTAGGAACGTGATTGACATTTCCACTCGTATCCTCCGACCACGACTTCGTATTCGCTAGTGACTTGGGAGTAACGGAAGAATAAGACGCACTGTGGCGTCGTTCGATGGTTATGAAAGATACTTTTTCCTGCCCACAACCATCCTAAGAGCAGACATAAGCAACTATTAACATCAAGCAATAAATTTGTACAGAGAAAATTTTTCTAAAAACTAGAGTGAGAAATTGACCTCCTACGGGAGACTTCAAAGATATATATTGAAAATTTGTTCAAAAATATATATTGGAAAACTAAAAGTTAATACTAGGAGATATTTTTTTCTATTACCATCTCAAATTGTGCTCTGTAACCAATTGCATTATTACTGTAAACATTCCAAATCAATTCTCTAGTTTGAGTAGGATCGTCCCATGTATATAATAAACTTTGAAATGGTTTGAGCAATGCGACTTGGCCTAAATTAATTTGATTCAGCTTCAGAAATAATTTGTCGCAGAGATTATCCACTCTCACTGGTATATCACCAGTGATATATCTCCGGAATGTTATACGGTACGGAGTACTGACGCCGCCTTCGATCTCCACGCATAGTGCCGACTGTGAATTATGAAATCTTTGTAAGAAGCTTTTAAGTTATATAATACAACATTAATTAAATAAAATTCTTCATAACTCGTTTCATAACTAGCGATCACATGTCTCTATCTTACCCCGTTATCCATTCTCAACACAGTTTTGCCCGCATGCGTAATATCAAAGTGTTGCGAAACCAATTGGCTATTTCTCCACTTTATTTTCATCTTCATAGATTCAGTGGCGGGCCAGAATGACATCTCTTGCCCGGGCAAGAGGTCGTTCCAAAGATCGGCTTCTTCATTCTCTTCCATGAATCTCAAGGCTCTCTTGGTTTTGTTGCAGATGAAGAAGTATGGTAGAAACGTTATGATCTTTGTGAAGATTGGCGACAAACGTGAGCTCTCTATCTCTGTTAAAATCTGATACTTTCGTCCGCGTTCGATATCGCGACATATGATCAATGACATTGACGTAATCCCGTCCAGTCCAAATGGCATTGACCATTCAGATTGATGTGCTCTTAATCGTACCATACTCTTCTTATTGTTCTTTTGAGAGAATATCATTAACTCCTCCTCCGGCATCTCATACGTTATATGAGAATGACAGTCCTAAAAGAAAAAAAAATGTTATTATTAAATCATATGTTTCGTAGGAATCTTGTTGTCATTTGGTTTACCTGGATAAACAACGGTAAGCCAGATTTATTTATTATCCAATATTGCGATTGTATAATAATGTTCCAACTGAGAATTTTGCACAATTCTAAACACAGCAGAAAAGGCTTCATTAAGTCTGACTCGTTATCTGTAGACATTAATACGAACTTGCGCTCCAGATTCATATTTAGTTTTACTGCACCCATCCAAGACATGCCTAAATAGTTGTGTATCTATATAAAGTTATTGAGACGGTGTGTAATTAAAAGGATGCAGCAAAAATATATTTATATATAAATTTCTTTTGAACAATGATTGTACCTTGAAAACAAACTGTACGTTATTGCCATGATTTAAAGAATGCATATTTATTTTCTCCCCGGGTTCGATTTTTACTTCGTAATTGATGCCAGGTATACTGACATCGATAACAAAAGGTAGCTGATTATTAAAAATAATAGGTGGAACGATATTTATCAAGTAATTCGGCACTTGACAACCTGAGGGACGAGTCGTTAATGGAAGTTCCGTGCATATCGCTCTGACACAGAATACATTACGATTATTATCGCCTTTCGCTTCGCAGCATACATCCTTAAATGCATTTGCTATACCCCTCAAATCTTTCCAATAAATTCCTTCTTCACTAACTTGATATTTCCTACAAATAATACATTCGTTAATATATTTATTTATTTTATTCTACAATTTTTTAAAAATCCATATTGTCGTAATTTCATATTTTACGCACTCTAGATATGCAGGAAGAACATGTATTGGGCAATGATAAGCGATATATAAAGGTATATTATATGTTGCATCAGGTTCTATGATCGCCATTCTCACATTATCATCGAAAGGATTCGTAGTTTCACCGGTTAGCGTCAAATTCAATTTATCTATCATCGCTTTCTTGTAATAAAGTCCCAAGGCGTATGAAGTTTCATTTCGAAACTAAAATATTCTCTCGATCAGCGAAAGATAAAAACAATGATAAACGAATAGATAAGCGAGATCGCATTACCTGTAACGGAGATCGCACGCAAATCGTACGATGCAAAAAATTGTTTATGGATGCCTCTATCACCAGGTAATAACGAACCTCATGTCTCACAGGACGAAGTGCTACGAGATTACGCGTTTCTTTCTTCGGGCAATACACCAACACGTCTTCGAACCCTGCATTAAGGATAAAAAGGTAGATATCTATTTTGTATATTTAATTATCTTTGAAGTATATTTACAAAAGTTACCTTCAAAGATGATACGAAGAAGTTCATCAGTTATCGATTTGTAGATATACACTGGTGAGTCGATGGGGAAAGCTTTACACTCTGATACGATCGCAGTGGTTTCCTTTCCGGCCCACTGGGGACTCGTGAGATCCGCCTGTTCATTCTCAGGACTGCTAGGTGCACTAACTGGTGAGCTTCCGTCATGAAAATTATATGCAGCTACGACACGCATGTCGTTATTCCCGTCCACTTGCTCTTGAACAAGCAGCTCAACTCGACTTGCGTGACCTATGTCGTTTAACACAGTTAATTCCCGCGTATTAGTGGGTACAAACGGAATTCCACCCCTCGCTTGTGTAAATGCGTTTGAAATTGCATTCCATGTTGCAATCATGTCTTGCGTTATAGTAATGTTAACTTTGTTCTCTGAATAGATAATGATATATGGTGCGGTGAGATTCGTTTTTGTCGGTACATGTGTGACTGGATTGCCTGTGCGAAAAATATAATAAATTGAAACGTTAGAATTAACAATTGATGTTTAATACGTTTGCACGAGATCTTGAATTTACGTACAACATTCAGGATTACAATCCAATATTAATTCAAATTCCTCATCCTCGTTTGTACTTGAATCGTCAGAATCGCTTTCTTCGCCATCACTGGTACTATTAAATAAATAACTTGAAATTTTTGTTAATTTTGTATCGTTCTCATCATCATCCGTGTCAGATTCATCCTCATATGTATCATAGGTTTCAGGTTCTATTTATTAAAAAGATATATTTACTAAATAATTCGATATATTAAATAACACTTCCATGTAACTGATAGATAAATAATTACCTTTTCTTGTAACTGAGATCATATCGACATCAGGTCCAATAAATGTCATATCTGTCATATCCTCTTCATTGTATTGCATATTTTTTTTTCTCGCTTTCAGTGGATCTTGCTTTATGTGATGGCAAGGGTCCGTCCAATCAGAATTAATCATATTCGCTTCGCCTCGATATATCTGAAGAAATTAAATTATGGGCAGTCAAAACTACGTTAATAAATAATTAAAAACATGTAGTGCAGCACAATAATATTAGTAACCTTGATTGTGATTTCCCATGGTCTATAGTCTATGTCATCTTTCGTGTAAAATTCGATGAAAGGTTCCCAATTCTGACGAGCTCTATTGTAACAGAACGCGTGAAGTTTTACATTGGATTCAAGGTGAAAATTGTTGCGCCAATCGTTAATGGTAGCAGTGATGACAGTTTCCATTCTCATTACTGGAAATCTTCCTACGGCGTATTCCATTTCCAGCAATAAACATATTAGCACAGGTCTCAAATTGAATGTTACTTGATCGTTGCGGCGACGATACAATTCTCTGTTACCTAAACAATGCGAAAAATAAAAATACAAATTTATTTAAAAAATATAAACAGTTGACGGAATTCAAATAGAATACGTCTGTGATTTATACGAAATGCTTACGTTCGTCAGTTTTTTTATATGGTATACTAGAAACTTTTCTTGGTGTCCAAAGATTATGCACGTTTGTGTTCTGATTACTGTCATCGTCTGTTTTCAAATTAATACTGTTCAAGAAAGTCGACGCTTCATTCAATATCTGAAACATAAATATTATACAACAATCAATTCAGACATAGTATATATATCTAAAAATATAATGATGTTTCAATACTTCAAAGAAATCTTGAAATATCTGGAAATATGTGACATACAGCAATAATACACAGTGATTCGTAATTATGAGAGATATTAAAACAACCTTATTTTAATCTCCAAATTTTATAGTAATTAAAAATCATTCTATTTATCGCTCTATCAGACATATTTCCAGATCCAGTTTAAGTTACATAATACTTACGTCAATAAAAGTATGCATCACTTCCGCTGATAGATGTATATTAATATTATTTATAGCAACAGTAATGTCTTCGTTACCGCAAGATAATTTCTTTTTACAAATTTCTATATCACAGGGACGTAACAACCAACACGGGGACTCATAATTTCCCTGTCCTTTAGTCTTGGCATTGACGTTAGTCAACGTACAGACTACCGAGGAGGACCGACTGTGTCTGCTACTTTCAATAAACACTTCCGCTTGCATTCGTATTACATGAGTGCTGCTCTTCTCTAAGTCACCGAATAGAAAGATATCTGGTTTTTGTATTCTAATTGATATTGAAGTACCTAAACACATTAAAATTATTCAGTTTTTGCTTTCTTCATTGTACAAAGTTTCACGTACACAATAGTACTGTATAAGAGAAAACCATTTTTATCTACAATATACATATGCATATAAACAAACTACCTGGCTGTTCCTTAAAATATTGGGAGTGATTTAATTTGTCAATTTCTGCATTTAAAGTATTCCGGTTCTTGATTGAAATCAAATTAATTTGGAAAATTAATTCGATTATTAATATTTAGAAGATATTTTTGAAAATGAAAGAGAGAGAGAGAGAGAGAGAGAGAGAGAAAGAGAGAGTCTATAAGAAAGAGCATTTTAAAAATATTCCTAGTAAACTTATTATTTATAAATAGTTTTATATTTACCATCTGATTATTATTATCATATCCGTGATTGATAATTCCTTTCTCTATCTGTTCACCGGGTAAGGAATCTAGAAAATAACGTCCCAAGTGCATCAAGAAAGGCACAGATAAATTAATTCGTATGTCTTGAATAAGAACATCGAAACACTTTTCCTCTGCTTGAGTACGACTATATGTTACATCGACTATAGGAGACATTGATACGGAAATACAGGATTCCAAATTCTTTTCTAAGGATATCGCCGGTGATTGTATTATCCTAAAACGGAAAACGAAATTGTGATTCTCGATAGATATTAACGTTCTATCCAACATTCAACCGATACAATACCTTTTCTCGACGACCGAATCCTTACGAGTATCCTGCAATAAGCAGCTTTGCAAAGACAATTTCATTTTCAAACTCTTGTCGCTATAAAAGTCCCATGTATTTATAGTTTCTCCAAAGACCAACTTGCATAAACCGTGATTTAAATCGCGTACAGGAGAACTCAACACCTACAATATAACGCAACAAAAAATAATATATATATAAAAAAACCTGTCAATATTCAATAAAGTATCAATATTCAAGCGAGTATCAATTTAAATGAATATTTACCTCTTCTGTATCCATAAACAAATTTAATTGCAAACCCTCCAAGGCAAGTTTTATGTTAACTTCGCATAATGTTGTTTCATTGTGCGTTAAGAAATTTTCCAGTTTCTTCACCATAATATCATCGTCGTGGTTAGTATTTTTTTGCGAATCTTGTGTTAAAATTCTATCTTCATTCTCACCGATTTTCTTAAGCAATGGTATTTTAGAAATGTTATCTTGCCACACCGATATGAGGGATTTGAGATCTCTCTGACTTAAGTTTATATTTATGATATCAATAGCTCCTTGTATGTCGAATAAACCATAGGTTTGAAATTCAATAATGCTACGATACTCCGTTTTTCTCTTAATATCAAATTGAATTTGTATAGGTTCGATAATGGGTTCCTGAAATTAAATATGTGCAGTGTTATTTCAGTTTTAACAAACTGTTATAACTAAATAAAATAAAATATTTGATTTTACCTGGACTTCTAAATCTCGAGTCAGAGTCATAATTGCTCTAGATACAGTCATAGATTTCAACTTTACCAAAATATTATCAATTATTAATTGATTGCTATCGTTAGCAGTCACTTTAATTGATTGTACTGACTGTCCACTATTCTTAAAAAAATTTTCAACCGATAATATACCTGAAAATAAATATTTTAATAAAATTAAACTCTCAATTTGCAATTTGTGCAAATATTAAGTGTAGTAAAAATAATGGATTTTTTTTTACTACACCTAATACTTCGGATATAATTTTTTACCTGTATCAAAAACCAAGAGACTCGGGGCATCTTTCTTCTGTGGCAGTAAAAAAGTAGGCCCTTGTATGTCAATAAAAATATGCAGTTTCGTCGCGCTCCTTTTAAATAGTTCAATCCCTCCAACGAATTTATTTTTCAAGTAATATAAGAGACGCGTATAATACGTAGACGTAAATGGTATTATAAAATTCTATAAATATAACTAAAATGAATATCAATAATCATAATAATACAAACATTAGACATAAATATAGACCATACCCGTAAATCATATAGAATTTTAGAAATAATCACGCAATTTATTCGTCCAACAGAAAGCTTAAAAGTGCCATCCGACATAACGTCATCCTGATTTGTATCGATATCAGAGCATTTATATAATCTTGGTATGTGTCTCACATATTTCAGATCAAAAACTTTATCTTCATCAGTCATCAAGATCTTTAAATAAAAATTAAAATATATATATATATATATATATATATATGTATGTATGTGTTAAAAAAAAAATATATATATATACACATTTATACATAATATGTATATTATACAGTAGAAAAAGATGATATATTCAATTACTTTGGAATAAAGCGTATCATCAATCAGATCTTCAGCGAGTATGCTCCTGAGATGTGCACGCAACACCATTCTCTCATTCGCATTGTAAATGCAATCATTTTCTAAACCCAAAATCTTAATTTCCATTAAATCAATGTCTTTATCGCAGAAACGTACCACTAATGAACTGAGCCTGGTTGAATAGTTAAGTTTAATTGCGCCTAAAAAAATAATAAAATATAAATTAATAAATATAAATTGATGTTATTTGTATGTTCAATTTTTTATATTCAGAGTATATATTTATACCTGGTGGAATTGGTGGATCAATGTCCTTTTGTTCTCGTTTTACAATATTATCGCATATCTTGTCGGCGTATTTGAATAAGAGGGTATCATGACACACACTGAAATAAAAGAATTTTTTATTTGTGTTAAAAGAATTAAAAGAATTAAAAAAATTTTCTCTGAGATATCTATCAAGATTTTTCATATAAAAATTGTTTTATTTACGTTTGAAATTTATGCCAGTAGTCTTTCATTTTCAACAACGCAGATCTATGAAAGTTTACGTTGATATTTAACAGGTTCACAACCAGCGAGCGTTCGATATTTTTGAAATGAGATTTAAAATCAGGGCAATTCGATTTAACCTGAAGAGAAAATTGATCAATATTTTTAAAATGGAAAACATAATATCATATCTCCATATATTACCTTACGATACGACACAACGAGGACTTCATATGACTCGTCAGTGGATATCAATTCTAGATACGATCCGGTAACGCCAGCGTTTGTCTTATCAACCAGAAAAATCGATCCAATGCCAAATTGAACAGCAACGCCGTATTCCATTATGGCTGTTTCATAATACAAGGTGTGCAATCTCAAATTTAAGTAAGGCTGTTCTCGATTATCCGCCATATCTTCCAGATTTACGGAGAACTAAATTTCAGATCGCTATCAATGACATTTTTTTGTTTGTACAATAAAAATATAGATGTTCAATATGAAATAATACTTGCCTCTCCTACGGCAAAGCGAAGTAATAAATTAATGTGATTACACGGGGATATATTATCATCAAATCCGGACAAATTAATTGTTTTAGATAACAATTCCAAATCCTCTTCACTAACTTCTGAAGAGACGACACTCCTATTACAAAATTAAAATTATTTTATGCGTATGTGAAGTTGTTATTTCATTTTTTTGCACTACAAATTTCAATGCAAGTTCTACTTACAGCCGCAATATAAATATTTAAAATAGTTCCGTTGATGTAACTAAAAAAATAACATTATATGAGGTGCCAGCACTTCGATTAAAAAATTGTTTAAAAATACTTAAAGGCCGGAACAACTTAGGCTAAAACTTATAAGATCAGAAATTATAAAACTCTTCGAGAACTATAAAATTTCATGATCAAAATTATTTTTTTCGAATTTTAAAGTGTCATGGAAAGTCAATACTTCAAATTTTCAAATTTTTTTTTTTTTCAATTAAATCAACGAAACTATTTTTAAAATTAGAAAATATAGAATTATTGCGGATATAAACTTACATTAAAACTTACGTAAAGAGATGAGATGTCAACTCCACACATATTTATTTTATTGAAATGCATTGAGTGTTACTATTATATAATCATTACCTGTCAAGCTTTGGTACATTATTGGTAACAACTTCCTTAATGACTGATTTAAAATCATTATGCATCATTGAAACGGACGGCAAGCATACACTAGATTGTACTTTCATCAATTCTTTCGTTGAAATAAAAACAATACTCGATTTTCGTTCAGAAATCGAATTTTTTAAGGTAGCTTTATATTTTTCAATATTGTTTTCATATAGAACTAGCAATTTATTCAAGTAATATGCCAGCAGTCGCAATTTACTTTCCGATAGATTCAATTTCACGTTTGAGATGTGTACATTGAGTTTTGTCCTGTGGAACATTATATATTGAAACCTTAAAACAGACATATATAAATGAAAGATTGCACGACGCAACTATTACCGTGGTAATTGACGATATTCAGGTCTAATACTGTATGAAAGAGTCACATTTGCTTGCAGCTTAGGCAACAAATGATACTCCGAGTCACTCCGTTTTCTCGCTGAGCGCCAATCGTCGCCTGAATGACAAAATAAAATTTGCGCGCCGGAAAACACTATATTGAGTCTATCATAGAGTAATTCTTCCAGTTCCATGAGAGTAGCATCTTCCAATTGTAAATTCGTTGCTTGGAGCTCGTTGATCAACATTATGTTACCGAGATCCAGAACAAGTATATGCCCACCTCTAAAAAATGTATGTATATGTAAAATGATATTTATTTGCATTTTTTAAAATAATTCTACAATCGTGTGTAGTAAATATATGTACTTTTGAACTGATCCGTATTCGGGAAATATGATATAAGGACTTTTAATGTCTATTTTAAAGCTGATTCTCAATGTCTGCGAGACGATATCGTCCACAAAGTTCAAATATCTTCTTTTGACGCAATCCCATAGTCTGTATACTCCGCGAATCGTATCGTGAATGTAATTGGTGTTAAATTTGAAAAAATTTATAATTTCCACTATAGCAAACTGAAAATCAATCTATAAGTAAAATTTATTAAGAAACCACAGACAAAATTATTTAAAGCAACAAAAATATTATTACGTGATGATAAGTCACTTCGATAGCTTCCAGCTTTATGGATACTTCAAAAATAGGATCCATATTCAATCCATTTTTCTCAAAATCGATCGCCAAAAAATATGTGGATACATTCCCTGTCACATATATATAATAGTTATAGTTAGTACTTTTGCAGTAGTTTATAGATCAGAGATAAATAGGCTTTTATTACCTGTTAATACATTATCCACTGTAATCAGAGGAACCAAATCGCCATCAGTTGATATAGCTTCAATTACAAAACTTTCAGCACGAACAGATATCTTGAAAGCTAATAACGTAGGCCGTGCCTCGATACTAGTCAGAAATTGTGTGACGGTTACGATCAACATTTCTTTGCCTTTTCTTAGGAGGCTCAGACAACAATTTGCCAAAGTAAAATTTAATTTATAATCTGTAAAAAATAAAAAAAATTCTTTAGATGAACAATACAAATCTTTCTTAAATATTTCTTGTAACAATTTTGTTTTAGTTAATATTAGTATATTAAGAAAGAATAATTTAAATGCTCACCAATCTGTTTCAATACCTTTCCCGATTTTATTTTGAAAACAGGTGAGTTTTCTATTACTTCTGGTAATGAATTTTGATTTTCAACTTGGTTACATTGACCTGTTACATTTTGTGCTTGATCATTATCCGGTAATATGACTTCTGCATTAACATCTTTCGATGGACTCGTTGTTGTAATTTGGCACTCTCGCTCGATATCTTTGTTTCTCAATTCCTGTCTAGCATGTTCCCTAGCAATCACTATATTTAATATCGTCAGGCTGTCTTCATGTTTTTGCATATCCAGTTTTAATTCTGTATCATTTGGTCGTTGCAAACATTGGATACATGCCTCTTTATAATTTCTGTAATTTCTTCTATGTTGGGCTATATGTGGCCAAGTATATGGCTTAATATAACGATTCAAAACAAAATTATACGCGTATTTCCACCAAGATGATGGTTCTTCATATACGGTTTTCTCAGGACGATATTTAGCATGTGGCCTAAATATTGTTATTTTTTAATCATTAGTTTCATTAATTTATTAAAAATGTATATATCGTTAAATGAAAAAATTTTAGACATTGTAAATTTACCTGTTAATAGTCGCACGAAGCAAAGAATCATAAATATGACAAAACGTAGCATATTGTGCTTCAGACAATTGCATTGCTACATCCTGGAGCACAATATCGACTAACATTCGTGAAGCTTGCGTTTCCGTACCCTTGTGTATGATAACTTTAATCTTGGCCGTGAAGGGCTTTAACACTTATGACAAAAATAATTCGTTAAAATCAATTGAATTAATAATCTCTTTTGAAGCAAAATAACAATAGATATATTCTGTAATTAACAAAAGAAATATCTCAAACATACAAAACTGAAATTCTTTGTTCTTCATCCCGAACGTCTGCAGAGCTCTTTGCATCGTAATTTTCCACGCAAACAGATTGGACATGTCCCAATTACCCTGCATATTTATACAAGATTCAGTGTCATGATCCATGTACACACTGAGCGATTCCGCGCGTACAAGTTGGTACACCGTTTGCGAGTTTGTAGCACACACCCCGGGCTTCCATTTGCTGGAATTCAACACATTTCTAATAACAATATTGAATACACATAATTGGAAGAAACTTGACAATATGCATTGTAGCATTACTTGTTGGTAGTCGTTATGGATATACTTTGTATACATATACCACAGGCACAGAGGAAATTGCGCAATATTTTCTCTTCATATCTAATATGTACATTATTTATAGTAATTTGAAAGTTCTTCGTGACTGATGCTAGTAGACCATCAAATAATTGAGGAGGTAGACCTATATAAAAAGAGTATATAAATTAATTTAAATGTAAAAATCAAACATTGAAAATCTATCTATTACTTTCAACTGCAATTATAAAATTTTAATATACTCTTTTTCTTATATAAATTTAATATATAAAATTAAACAGATATGAAATAAATTTCTCAATAAGGCATTTTAGTAATAAATGATTCTAAATAAAAATATTTAATTACCAGCTCTAAATATTTCATCTTCCTTAAGATCATCAAGTATCTTCTTTTTTTCAGCTCTCATCAAACGTTTTTGTATCTCTGGGTCATATGGGCCAGATAATGCAGGTACTGCTACTACGTATACATCCTTAAGAAAATGAAGCATATTTGCATAATTATTTTAATTTATATATTTATATATTTTGTTATTGTGAAATATGGTCATATATAAATCATTCATGTATACATCCTTAAGAAAATGAAGCACATTTGCATAATGATTTTAATTTATATATTTATATATTTTATTATTGTGAGATATGATCATATTGATTATTCAATACCTCTATGCATATCACAATAGGTTGCGAGAAAAGTCCAGACCATGGTATTTTCAAAATAATTTTTCCTATCAAACCGATCTCTACTCTAATAGGTAATCCCAGTTGATACTGTAAGTACAATTCATCAGGAATGCACATACATATTCAATTATATATTTTGAATTTTTTCTTTATTATCTCTGAATTATTAGATAAAAGAAAGAAATCGTACCAAAGCCTCCGGTTTCAGTTTCAGGTCGGTGAGGCACGTATCCCCAGAGAAAATACCGACATTGAATTGCTCCGTGTCCAGGTCCTCCACATATCTGCCCAGCAGACGGTTCAAAAATGCCGCTATAGCCCCCTCGAACATCGTCGTCGTCGTCTTTGCCTGTTGTTGAGGATCGTGAACACCGGTGCCGCTTTTTGTTTCGTGAGCAAGACGACGAGATCATATGGAATCGACCTGGATCCCGGTCGTCGCCATAACCTCCTCGAGATTGTTGCAATTCGCAAAATAATTCAGTCATGCGCGACGTCGCCGCTATCCTTATTGATCTCGAATCTCATTTCGATGCTGCGCGATGCAACATCTACAACACCCGCCCGACGAATCCGTCCGTCTGCTGAGTGCTGCGTCTGCTCCAGTTGCGTTCACTCTACACTTCCTGCACTTCGCAAGAAGCGAAATGGATAGAGATAGGATATGTGCAGATTCGCTCGAAGATTAATTTTTCCTGAATTAATTTAAGCGGTGATTAAGTTAACTCAACTGATATATGCATTTCTAAGTAAGAATATATAAAGTTATCTACATTAATTTTTTGACAGAAATTTCAAGGACATTCAAATGTTAAAAAAATTTCGAATTATATTCCCTAATCTAATCTTCTTTTATGTTAAATTATATAAAAAGTTAATTTTCTTTTATAAGACTTTAAATTTTGATTTAAAAAAAATAAAGGAAAACTAAAGATAGTAGACAAGTATAAAGAAAATAATGAAAATCATGATATTATTACATATTATATCATTTAAGAAATGAATAAATTATATAGATTTAAAGAGAGTAGCATTTTCAATTGCACCTTTTTTCATTAATTGCGCTTGAAACGAAAATACATGTCAGATTGTAATGTCGAAGCAGGAAATTGACAAAATTGCAACTTAAACAATTATGAAAATATTAAAGCAGAATTGTTTGTCTGCTACTAATTGGTGCATTTAATGTTTTAATATTACTTTCAATTTTTATTTATAAATATATAAAATAAATTTATTTAAATAAATGCATATTATAGGGAAATATATTATCAGAAAACAAAGATTTTAATAACATTGGTTAGATACAAAATCTTTTAAAATTTCTTCGTTGAAATAATTTTAATTCAGCGAAGCTTGCAAAAGCTTGCAAAATAAGCCAAAGTTTTCTATATAAATGAAATATATTTTTAAATGGAATATACATGTATATAGTATGAGCATTTATTTTCATGTATACAAAACCGATAAAGATTCAAATAAATATTTACAATAATGTCGTGTGTTACCTTATTATGGCCATTATTAGAGATGGACATTCGATTTCTTTTCAAAAATTTTTGTATTATAAAGATTCAAACTGTTTCCAATATATATTCAATACTTGCTTTAAACTGCTTCGAATATACAATATCCGAACTATTATACTTTAAATTATTTCAAATATATGTATATCCAAAAGTATACAGAAATGTTTGAAAGTCGTTACATCTAAAAAGTA